GCAGCTCTTGTTCTCGTGTCCTTTCTCGCTCCAGCTGGCGCACACGCAACTCCTTCAGTTTGGATGATATCCTGGCTTCAGCTGATGCATGAGAGGCCGCCGAGCTGCCACTAACCTGTGACCTTGCTCGGCGAGCGACGCTACGGGTCATGCGTGACACTGAGCGTCCCAAGCCGTCTTCAGGTTGCCCTCCTCCATCCTCGCTGAAGTCAGTCTGTCTCGTAGAGGTCAGCTGTAGTTCGTCTGTGGTGCTTGTCATGAAAGTCTCGATTTTCTCCTCGATTCTCTCCTTCTCCGTACGAACTTCGTTTAAGTACTGAGCCTCATTTTCTTTTTCTTCCTCACTCTGCGTGTATCCAGAGATACATTCGTGAACGGCCATCAACGCTTGGAAAGCGCTGTCCATTTCTCTGCGGATATTTCCAAACTGGACGCGTGAGGCTCTATCTGTCACGAGAGCTTCAGCGCGCCGGAAAATCCTTGTGAGAGCCGCCCGATGACGACCTCTCACCTGTCTGAGGTGCCGCCACTCCCCGTTGGAGCATTGGCCTTCTCGTGGTTCCTCTTGGACTTTTGTCACTGCAGCTTGTCCTTGACCTGCAGCGGCTGGTTCAGCTGGTACTTCTTCCATGTCAGCGGTTTCTTCTTTGTCACTTTCACCCATTCGCTCTAGAGACGGGCTTGCTTCTCCACTTGCCATAGTTCAGGATCCGGCCCGGAGGACCAGCAAATGTCGCCGACAAACTGTCGTTCGGAGTTCTTTTCTGGTTGGATGTGGACTGTATTTTGTTTGGTGAGTTTGTGCGACATTCGTAGCCCGCCCGCCTGCTATGTGAGCTCCTGGGTTTTTGATATTCGGCGATTTACAGTTGTAGATAGACGTGAAGATTTCCCGTAGAGGATTTATTGAAGTATACGCGAAGCAAGAAGCGGAAGCAGTTGTGAAGAAAACCGGTAGATGAAACACGCAGACACGGAGCACAATTCACATTCACTGTACAAATCTGAAGCACTGACACTGCCCCGCCGGGCGCGGCTGCGCGCAGGAGAGTCGGTCTGCGCGCGTGCTTCTGTACTCTGTCCCCGCTCAGCCGGGCGAGGCGTCGAGCGGGGCAGATAAGTCCGTGCGCACAGCGCGACGGTCGAAGTGAGACTCTGTCGGGGTCGTACGTGACCCACATTTTATACGCAATGCTTAAGACGTGTGCAAAACGAGTGCGAACTTGCACTGCAGCGGGGAGGTGGCTGAAGGCGCCAGCTTGGCGGCCTACGTGCCTTAAAACGACGTGTCTTTAATTTATATCTCGGTCTCGGTGGCGGCCGCGGCACTGCTGCGGCTCGGCAGCGTCGGCGGCACGCGTACCGACCGCCGGCCGCGTCTGCTCGCGGCCCCGCCCTGCACAATGCCTCACAACTCATCCTGAGTCTGGACAGGGTGACGGCGGTGCGGCGGCGGGACGGCTGCAACGAGCGGCGGCGGCGCCGCGGTGGCACGGCGGCCGGCCGGCTATCACGGCGGCACAGCGGTAGCGCGGGTTGGTCCGAACACTTTCGTCGGTGACACTGCCTTCCATGACATATTATTTCACATCGAATGTAGCAGCCTGTCCTGATTGATACCAGCTCGCATGTCCTGTATCGCTGAGAATCAAATCGCCATCATGAACATGTGTGTGGCTAGCAACCCCTGTGAGATTGCAGCCATAACTTTCACTGAAAGACTGGTTATTTACGAGGCTCGTTCTAGCACGCTGTACCCCAGACAGACCATAAAGTATGTTTTCCTTTGAAAAATCACCTATTTCCTCGTCAGAAGAGTTACCGTAGCTAAGGCTGGAATCATAAAGCACAATCGCTAAATCTACAGGTGTAACAAGTGGACCCAGTGCTCTAATAAGACCTTTGGTTTCTTGTAGGCCAATGCATTTACCAAAAGCAGCGGTTGGATACGCCTAGGACCATCGCATAAGCCAATTCGTTTTCTGATAAGGATGAGATAGACTGTTGCATTAGATGTTCGTTTGGCCGATTTAATGTGTGTAGAACAGCCATTTCTATGTAGGAGGTGCTGCCGGAAACGTGTTTTGTATGACCCTTGGACAACAACCCATCACGTCCGATTGTGTTGAGCAAAGGTCAAGGTTCGCGCCTTGCTTGCAAGACATCCGGGATGTAAGGTCTTGTTAACACCACTTGGCTTTTGTGTGGGTGCCGATAACTGCCTGAGCTGTCGGACGAGAGAAAGCAATTACATACGTGGTGCATGGCTTATGCCGAATTGCACATGTTTGATATGACCGATTTTAGGGCATCTGCTCATGAGTTTCATCATGTTGTATGACAAACACATTGGTCTCAGCAAGTAGCAGGCTGCGATCCGTCCATTTGAATCTAGTGCTGCCCATGAACCATCGCTCCCGGTTGCACAATGCACAGCCCCTGTTGCCAGCGCTCCCCGATAACGGGATGCTACGCCCGCCGGCCTACCGATCTGGTTTTCCTTTACAAGGAAAACGGCCGGCGCACCGCACGGGTGTCACTTTCCTTCAGCAGTCACCGGCCGGGTGACGACACGCGACAGGGCGCCACGTCGTCCTTGGCACGGGTCGGGGTCACCGGGTCGTCCCGTGTCGTCACCGGTGGCTCTGCGACTGCCGTGACGCCCCTGTTACGTGATGATGTCACCTGGGGTGGGCGCCGGGCGGCAGTTGTAGGCGCGTGATGCGGCTGGGTGTGGCCTGTCCCGGCGCCCCTGGCCCCTGTCGACACCGGTAGACATGCAGCGAGGGGAGTGGCGCGTCATGGGTCGCTGAAATCGCACCGCTGCAGGCACCGGACGTCCGCCTGCCGTGCGGGCGTCAGCGGGGGAGGGGGTGGGCGAGCCATCAGCCCGTGTCCACGCTACAGCTGAAAAACGGCAGACTGGGGAGGGGGTAGGGGCTCATACCCTTACATTTTATGATGTGCTGTGCGGCTTGGGTACCAACAGACCCTCACCGTCCCCCCCCCCCCCCCACCGGCTGACATGCTCCCCCAGATACTCCTTTGTCCGCCTGTACCCCTGCCGTCCACACAAAACGACCGATGATGCCGTGCGTAAGGAACTGCAGCTCTGCGAAAGAAGATTGAATGAAGGAGTGATCGTCAAACGAAAGGTGCGTCGCTGGACGTCACAGTTCGATGTTGAACACCTGACAGACCGCAGCGGCGCCGGGCCGCCGATGAAAAACGGCACCGTCGACAGCGTCTGTCGACGGTGACGACGCGTAGTGGCCAGCGGCAGGTTGGAGTCCGGCCAGAGATGATTGAGATGTCAGCCGGCTTGGATCAGATCGGGCCCGGCCAATCGAGGGGCTCCAGTTCAGAACAGTGGGATCGATCACCCGCTTACGTCACTGACGGCCGCAGCGCGTGTGTTGCGATGGTTTTGAACTGCTGTTCAGCCAATATGTCAGCGTGACGGGTGTTGTCGATCTCGGGTGACGTGGTCTGCTGGTGCGCTGGAGCTGTGTCCCTGGGAGGCCACAGAGTCAGGACACTGAGAGACGTGGCAATGTAGCAGCAGGGGCTAGACCGCTCTGTATGCACCAGCAGCCGACATCGCGTTGTGGGTGCGGCAGTCCGTCTCACAGTGCAGCGTGCGGACGAACTAGACAAAAATTCCGGTTTCAACTGGCGTGACGCGGGTCTGCCGTCCGGCGCTAGCTGATGTCTCGATAGCTGCGGTGTCGCACCGGCCGCCGCTTGGTGACAGTCCTATCACCAACCGCATCTGACGGCACCCTCTGTGTGGCCTTTTCCGTCAGTCCCCGCTGCCGCTCTCCACACCTTGGTCTCCGCACCCTTCATTCTCTGGTCATCGCCCCACGCTGCTCGGTTTACTGGGTGCAATCCCTATGACCCGCCACAGGGCCGGGTTTATCAGAGCACCCCGCTGCCTTGACATTGCACGCCCGCGCTGGCGATCTCCTAACCGGTTCAACGGTGCAGGACACAGATGTTAGGCAGAGCTAATGCATTCAGAGTGTGCATCGATGGCGGCCGGAGGGGCTGTCTCATTGGTGACAGTGTTCTGCTAACACGTGTGGTGGGGCCTCGTGACCATGTGTTATCGAAGTGACCTTGCCGCCTACACGGACTTTTGAGCAGCTGCGGCTTGCCGATCGTTGTGGGATTTACACAAGCTGACTGTATAAATGTGACCGATGTCGGACTTGTTTGTTGCATTTCATGTCGAGTTGTTGTGCAGGTGAGGATAATAGTTGAGGTGCGGCTTGGGATGCTGTTTATTGTCGGGAACAGTTAACTACAGCGATGACTCTTGAAGCTGCGGTTAGTCGTAGCCATATTCGTGGCATGCTACCCTGATATGTCACACTCCCAGTGTGCAATATTCGTGTTTCCTTCATCCGTATCGTAAATCATTCCTCGACAAGCCCAACGAAGTATCAAAAACAGAAACCACTTGACCGCCCTTGCCCATACGTCGACGCGTTCTGTCATATTATCTCGGTGACCCCATTGCCTTGCACTGCCATATCTCCCTGACATTATCCAGACACTGTTCAGAGCAGACCCGACATGCACGCTCTATCGAACGTGCTGCTACTGTGCCTCAGCGGACGGAGCTGCTGCTCGGTGTCTGCCATATGGGGCCCGCCATAGAGGCCTGGGTAGTGTCCTTCGCCAGCGCTGAACGGGCCCCCGATCGATGCATTGATATTCCACAGCAGAGCGAACCACAATGACCCGTATGAATCGTGACCTCGCTCCGTAGCCTAAATCATGACATTGGTGTTCTTATCCATGCTCTTTGTATTTAATCATGATCGCATAGTGTTGTGAAATCCGTCGCAACGTATGTGATAGACATAGTGTCTGTCATACTGTCAATCTGTCCCGCCATGTGTACTGTGTATCGTAGCGCGTGTGGCAGCCTGTGCCATGACCTATGCTGTAACTTCAGCGCTCTAACCTGTTCCCTTTCTGTCGTGTTTCAGAGCAGAGCCGGCGGGACGACCTTGAGGCTCTGGGCCACATGTTCATGTACTTCCTGCGTGGCAGCCTGCCCTGGCAGGGTCTCCAAGCAGAGACACTCAAGGAGCGCTACCAGAGGATCGGAGACACCAAGCGGGCCACACCGGTCGAAGTCCTCTGCGAAAACTATCCAGGTTGGTAGCAATCGGAACAATGGAAGGAGAAGTGAAATTTAATGATGTATTTCATCAGAGCACTGGAGGTTTGTCGGAATACGTTTCCGCAGTGGAATAAGTCCAAAAGTAAGGGATGTTTCGTGGAAACGAATCGTGTCAATGTCTAACGTTGGACCGTGCGGTCTTAGGCATTGTTTTTCGCGGCGTCTGTCCGTGATTGCTGGATGGCGTGAGTCGGCTTCTCCACATCCGTTGAATTGCGTCAGTATTAGCATGAGTCCGTCTGCTCCGGGGATCCGAGAGTTGCGTGTGTTGTGCTCAGAAAGCGTTAAGTTGCGTGATTCGGGTCCTAGCTTCTTTTGCTTCTCTACGGTAAGTGGAGAGCGTCTTCCTCCGCTTAGGCAGATTGATTGCGGTGGTTTACTACGGTTATAGCTATGGCCCGTCCATGATTAGCTGATCGTTCATCGGTCAGCACTAGCAGCGAAGTGGCCTGTGTCGTGTGGTCTGACTCGTGTCGGCTCGCGGTCAGACGTGCGGTGCCGGAGGACGGCGTGCGGCCAACACGGCATCCGTCAGATTATCGACGGCCGGTCAGAAAACAACTCCATATGGGTGCCAGCCTGAATCCGTTCCCTGATTCGGGAGCGGACTTTACGCTTCTATCTGACTTGCAAACGACTCTGATACGGTCTTGTGTCGTCGACACACATACCGGCCTCGTTTAGCGTGGCGTGTCGATTGGTGACATGATTGAATTTCCAAAGCATGCTCTTTCGAGTGAGTATCGAGCGTGGTTCAGCGCCAGTCAAATGTCCTTAGCATGCCTTAGCCGGCCGCACTATTTCGAGCATATCACATCGGATGCTTATTCCATTATTCCAGCGACGTTTTGCGTTCTGAGAACCTATTCGCTTATGTTACCGCGGTTTGGGGACATGTCTGGAGAGCTCTCAACGGATGGTCGTATTGGGACGACAGCGAGACTGGCTGATCTGGTTAACCCGCGCCCCGCTGGGGGGGGGGGGCAGAATCTGCCCCCCCTCCCGTTTTTCGCCAATAACTTCCAAACGCGTTACGCCAGCGACGTCAAACTTAAGGTACCTTATCATACATCAATTTGACACGTTCCCTGAAAATTTGAGTGAAATCCGTCGAAATTTTTTTTTGAGAAATTGACGTTTTAGTGACGTCATGTTCGCCATTTTCGCCTCAAAAACGGCAAAATTTCAAACGCCGCTAACATCTTCAGTTTTAAAGGAATCAAGACGTAACAAAAAAGGTAATACGTGATTCTACTTTGTCTATCAAATGGCTATCTCGGTTTTTTGAAAATGTTTGATTTTGGCCCAATTTTTTCAAAAAACTGTTTTTTGGGAAAATAATTATAAAATCCAAAATTTTTGAGTGTATCGAAAAAACCGGAGTATATGTCAGAGAAGTGGTCTATGTGCACCTACATACCAATTTTTAGAAGAATCGGTTCAAAAATGTGGGAGTTATTCAAAATTTTATGACGTCGCGACACACAATTTTTTTGAAAAATGATTTTTTTGGAAGTTCTAGACCTCGTACGGAAACAAAAATAGCACCATTCGATTTGCCGTGAAAAACTGCATCAGATAGACACCTTTTTAGGCCTTAACAACCAACTTCAAAATTTGACCTCACTTGACCTGACCTTGACCTGACCTCGACCTGAAATTCATCCAGAGGTGGTCCATATCACTTATTGAGTGTGCCTATTGAATTCTATGAATAAAATGACCCATAAAACATGTGTCGCACATGCCCTTTTCTATACTTTGTTTTTGGTGACCTGACCTGACCTGACCTGACCTGACCTTGACCTTGACCTTTGAATGGCATTTTATGCAACGAATATTGTCTTGGTAGTCTAAGAACACGTTTTGGGCAATCAGTCTCAGTCCATTCTTCGGCAACTACGGTGCAAGGCCGATACTGTAGAAACTTGCATTTTGTACCCTTGACCTGACCTTGACCTGACCTCTGACCTACTTAAGCAAAAAACATTGGGCTCTTAAGATCCGCCTTGTTGAGAGCTTTCGATTGCCGTTTTCCCCGTCTTTCTACGACCATCGGTTCGGAAGTTAGACAGGGGGGGGGGCAGAATCTGCCCCCCCCCCCCCCCCCAGCAGGGCGCCTATGGCTGAATAGCCCAGCGGGGCGCGGGTTAAGGCAGTGGCCGGCGCTTGGTAGAACTGTGACGCAGCTCGCTGTCGGCCTCGACGTTCCAATCCAAATGGAAAACGGACCACTGCTCTGCCGAGGGACGGCCAAAGAGCATGGTAATCGGACCATTATGCTCTCAGAGCACGCGGCTCCGCTGGGATGAGTTCAAAGTGGACACAGTGGGTTGGGAGGTAATAGCATTGAGCCCCACTGCTGTTTGGTGGTCTAGGCTGCGGCGTAGGGAGGGCTGAGGCAGGGGAGGGGGCTGACCGAAGTCGGTCGCCGCCCCATACCGTTCCTGCGGCGACGGTAAAGGTCGTGCCGTTCACCGCCTGAAATCGTTATATCGACGCGGCAGGTTCCGGGAGCGGCGCCGTGCGTCACTGCCGACGGCCCTGTCGCGTGCTGGGTAACGTACTGGCTGTCCCTGACGTATGGCAGCTGGCCGGCCGGCCGTGTCTGTCTGTCTGTCTGTCTGTCTGTCTGTCTGTCTGTCTGTCTGTCTGTCTGTCTGTCTGTCTGTCTGTCTGTCTGTCTGTCTGTCTGTCTGTCTGTCTGTCTGTCTGTCTGTCTGTCTGTCTGTCTGTCTGTCTGTCTGTCTGTCTGTCTGTCTGTCTGTCTGTATGTATGTATGTGTGTCTGTCTGTAGGTCTGTCCAGTGTGGACGAACCTACCGTGCGACGGTCAATGCCAGCGGCTAAGTTAGCAGCGGCCCGAGCCCGATGTTTAACTGGTGCACGGTTTGTTTAGCGCGGCCGACGGCCTGGCCCGTCGACTCTCCTCGACTGCCTTTGTGCAGTCTGGTGGAAGGATGGCGGCTTTCCAGACGGTCTGTCTCGTGCCTGACGCGCGCCGACAGGGAACCGTTGCACACTGGGCCGGGGGCCCGGAAAAGTGCTAGAAATTATCTGTGATTGAGTTGTTGATCTCAGTGACAAGCAAACATGCTAAAAACGAAGTGGGGCTGCTTAACCCTCGCCGGACCTATTGTCGGACCCCCCACCCCCTCGGCCGGCCGAGGGGGGAGGGTTGGTACGACCCCTTTTCGCCGTTTCGCCCCTAATGGAGCTAGAGCCTCGCGGAAAAAACAAGCGTGTGCGCCGTTTCAAGACGGAACGATTGATACCCGATTTTAAGGTCCCAGGTCAACCGGTAACCTCTGAGGTGAAGTCAAAAAGCCCAAGGTAGGGTTTGGTTTTTGGTAAATAATTTCGCATAAAATGGCCGCAGAGCAGCGATTTTGGCACCATCGTGTTCGCCTGGCTCAGGCGCGTCGAATGGTATACTTTTTGTCCGGGTGAGGTCAACATAAGGTGTTGACCTCGAGTCAAGGTCAGGTCAGAGCCCATCAGGCCACGAACTTAATCGAAGGAAGTCGTATTGCATATCATTCGATTCGGGAGGTCTTTCCGAGTCCATTGGTGATTTTCCCGAGTCGCTGGCTCAATTTGATCATGAGTTATTGACGAGAAACTCCTATGACCGTAGTGACGTCATAAATGACGTCACGGAAGGTCAAAAATGCAAAAGTAAAGCATCGGATCTTGCAAGGAGTGCATGAAATCACGATTCCGTGTGCTTGAGATAGTTTGAGATCATTCCATGCGCAAAAACAACAGTTTCCTTATTTTCCCATTTACTTTTAATGTTGAGGTCACGTGACCTCGAAGAGTAGCAGGCATTAGCAAAAATTGCGAGTAGGGCACGACAGAAAGATGATTAGTGGTTTGTATGGCATGGTCATTTTTAGCGGCTCGAAATAACATTTCTCAAAAAGTCTAACTAAAGAGCAAGTTGTTGTTGATTATCACTGACTTGTGTTTGGGGGTTAATAATGACTGAATTTTTGAATTTGGCCCAAAAATTTTGACAGCATTGTGTGCGTTGATCAATTCTGAGCTCAGGGACATATATTTTATTCAGATTATACGCGTTTGTTTTTCACAACTTCCAGCGCTTTAAAGAGCGCCGGGCCTTCAGTAGAGCGGCGAGGTGACAATTGCCCCTACATCATGTGGTTTACTGGCGCATATCTCGAAAAGTAGCAGGGAAAAGCAGCAAAGCACCTATATGGAACGAAAGATGAGTTATCAGAGGCTAGTATAAAATGTTCATTTTTAGCCGCTCGAAATCACATTTTTATAAAAGTCTAATTAAAAAATTGGATATGATTTTTAATTACGTCTTGCAGCTGCTTGCAAAAAGCTAGCTTATCTTGCAGAAAAGCGATGCAATATGTGAGAATGATGTTGGCACAGTGAACAACAGTGCCCTGAACTAGTCTGACAGGAAATTTCGTTCAAAAGGACGATTGGTCAACTAATAAATTACCACCAAAGATCATCATGAAAATCGGTAAATGTGGTGGCCACTAGAGAGTCTAAATTGTCTTGTGTTTGGTGACAACTGACGACCTCAATTTTGACCTTAGGGAAAAACTGGCATCGGAATCGTATTCTTCGATCAATTTGGGATTAAATGATACCTATTTTGTTCATATTGCGGACAGTCAGTTTGGGGGAATTTCTAGCGCTTTTTCGGGCTGCCGGCCTACAGTGCGTTGGGTCTGAATGGCCATGACCGAGGGTTACCATTGGGAAGCTACGATGTTCTGAACTATTGCACTATCCTGCTGTGGGATGACGTGACCCGGCCCGGCCTTTTGTGTATGTGGGTCCCCTCCCAACTACTGACGCGGTCCGCCAGAGCCGGCAACAGCTGTATGCTCCCATGACATTTCCAGCTTCTGCTAATACGGGACTGCTGATGTGTTTGTTTGGCGGCTCGCCGTCTACAGAGTACCGTTCGCCCACCTCACCGGTCGCCGACGGCTCTCTACATTAGCCGCTGCACTGTCCAGCGTTGGCTATATCAGCCGCTAGCCGGTCAGGTCGTGTCAGCCGGTTCAGGTCAACTCGTGTCAGCTGTATCATGCAGACGTGTCGCCAGGTCGTGTCAGCAATGTCTGCCGGCTGTATCAGGCTGTGTCAGCTGAGGGTGTTAGCTGCGTCAGCAATATCGACGTAATGGACGCCGGTACGGGACGTGTCTTAGTGTCCTGAGCAACCGAGTCGTTCTCATACAGCTCAGCATGGATCCCGGACAGAGATAGAACTCGCTGGTAGTCTTGTCGGGTACGGAGGTCTCAGGTTGGTTTATGTCGTGAATACGATCCTCAGTGGGTCCCTGGGAATCTCAGGCACAAACCCGGTCCCCGAGTGAAGGACTGCGTGCTTTTAGTTTGACTTTGTTTTGTCGTGGTTTCTTAGTTTCATAAACTGTTATGGATTTTTTTATAGGCGGTGCCTAGATGGCTCTTCTCTGCACTCCAAACTTCAATTTTCACATATTGTCCGTCCTTCATTTCTCCCCGTACCGTCGTCTGTCTTCCCGGTGTCTCCCGATGGTCGCTAGTTTGTCAGCGGCGCGACGATACCGTGTTTGTCACATTAGGCGGCCGTGATTGAGTTAGCCCGTCCGGGAACAGGCTCGCTGGGCCGCCGCGGGTCGGATGGCGGTCGGCACAGATGGATGGCCTCACCGCCCGGCCGTAATGCATGCAAAACGAACCGGGCGCCAGGCGCTGAATGAGGAGTCGATACAGGCTGAGAGTGATTTTCGTACGGATACAGAATTGAAAGTGTTCCATACGTGAACACATTTATGTGATTGACTGCTTGAGGACTTCAGTGACCAATGGTACATTAGACATTAAAATAAATAGGTGCACTTTATACGAATTTGGTACATGCAAGTGATTTCAATCAGAATTGAAATAAAAACACCGTCAAAAATGTTTTCTTTCAGAAGAGTTTATCGCTGCTTTCATGGGCAGGTCTAATGCTGGTAAAAAGTGAATGATACTTTTTTTTCCTTTTCGCAACCACCTCATGCCCCACAAATTTGCAATATTTGCTCTTGTTTCTACCCTCTGCGTCCACCGTTGACCGCGTCATCTGAGTTGTGTTATTTTCGCCGGCGCCGGCCGTGACTTCAGCCCTGTTTCGGGCGTGATGGATGTCGCTCTCGCCACGGCTGTTGCTCACGACCGTCGCCCAGTGTCGTACATCATGCAAACGCTCATATTTCAGACAGGAGCGTGACCCGCTGAATAAACAATGTAGAGCGCTCCTCCCTTCCGGCGAGCGTGTCCTCCCGCCTACGTCTATGTGTCAGGGGCGGGACTTTGTCCTCAAACTTTTACATTAGTTGAAGAAGTTCATCAAGTATCTTCGGGTGGAAATTCAAGTACTCATCACACGTTGATTTTCGGTTTGTCCCTTTCAGCTCAGTTTGTTAACGTTCGATTCTTCGAACGTCAAAGCATCATACACGCGAGAAGCCTTTTCACTCAGATCAAAGATACGCTCAAACGTTTCGCCCTCGCACAGTTGATCGTCTCACTCTACGGGTGGCTGGCTGCTTTTCAATTTAAAAACACTTGTGCAAAATAAGTTGCGTACTAATGTACTTTCTCCTCGATATATGTGTTAATTTCGTCCCCACTGTGTGCCTGCCCCTGCGTTCTAACAAGTGTCCTCACCTGTCCACAGAGGAGATGGCCACCTACCTGCGCTACGTGCGGCGGTTGGACTTTTTCGAGGTGCCCGACTACGACTACCTGAGGAAGCTGTTCCAGGACCTGTTCGACCGCAAGGGCTACGTGGCAGACGAGGAGTTCGACTGGACGGGACGCACGGCGGTGAGTTTTAGTCCTCGGCGACATACGGAGGTGTTTATTTGTATTTTGTATTTGTTTGAGCACGGCCATGGCAGTCGGAGCACTGCCGGAAGGTGGTGGAGTGGTGGTAGTCATTGTGTGGTTCATCCAGTGGTGTTCTACTGAGAAAGGCTCAACATACTAAGGTGTTGCTTATGGTGTTGATTTATTTCACGAGGTAAACACTGCTGTGTTTCCAGCCTAAATGCACCGCAGTTCTATTTGTGTACGGTCCTAGTTATGTATGGCGAATCAGTGGCTTTCACTGTTTGTTCAGGTGGCCGTTGATCAGTTGTTAGCACCGCTGGATTTGTGTACTGATATATCCGAGAGCTGTGTACTGAGGTGACCGTTTGAGTGGCAATATCCGGTCTCAGCAGTGACAGGTGACAGGCAAACACAGTCTCCACCGGGCAGCACCTTTGATCGTCGGGTGGAGCATATCAAATATCCACCCAGTCAGCCTGTCCGAGGTGTGGGCACGGGTGAACTTCGTGACCCAGTCGTGATGAAGGGCTGGTGTCGGGAATGGTTGAGTTCATATTGTGGAGCTTTGTCATCATGTAGCGACTGGCAGCTATTTGTGTAACTGTGGGTAGGTCAGACAGGACGGGACAGCTGGTGTCATATGAATGCTGCTCCGGTTCAGGTCGCGGCTGGCAGTAGGTACCCATTGCTGATGGCCATCTCACAGTTTGCTGCGTCACTTCATCCGGGTCTGGCTGATACAGCCGGGTCTTGCGTTTGAATTTCGGCTTCCTACCTTCACACATACATATAATCACCGGGACGGCGCTGCGGCCTCCAGATGATTGTTTGCCGTGGTAGCCATCTTAGACGGAATCCTGTCCTCATCTGAGGGATTGGCGCCAGACTTACAGAGCGAGTGGAAGAAACTCAGCTCTTTTAGGCGCAGATGAAAACATTGGAGTTGAGGACGAATGCCCAGTCAGGGAAGAAAAGACCCGACGATTGTTTCCGCCCTCGGAAGAATATGGACCAGCCGTGAATGATGTCCGCACGCCATCTCTGGTTGTCATGACAACGATCACAGCCAATCACCGTCTGCTGATTGGTGCCGACATCGGTTTTGTTTCCTGTCCACGGGATGGTTCCCGGAACCTCTGTCGGCGATGATCCGATCTGCCTGTGGGCGTTATGGGATAATGTTTTGGCGGTAATGTGACTTCGATATTGTTCCTGAGTGGATATATTTGGACAAGCTTTCAGCTCACCAACATGTTTTTTTATTATTTATTGTTCTGCTGTCGCTTGACCCGCATCAATTGTTGTGTTTCGCTCTGACTGGCAACCGTGCACCTTTTCGAACGAAATGTGTAGGAAATGCTAGTGAAGTTGATGTAGGAGATAAATTTGAAACTGGCTGTGATCACAGATGGAGAGGTTTGTTTATCAGGAGGCTGGAAAACATCGGTGATTTTATTTTTGTACTTTACTTGGTCTATTTCGTGTTCACCTTGTCCGCTCGCGTTCGCCCCCCGCTCCGCAGCGCCGGGTCGATCGTTACTGTTCTGTCTCCGCCGGCTGGCGACAAACCGGTATACACCGGATCAGCCCCCATGTAACCGGCACGAATGGGGATCACTGCAGGGGATGAGCCGAAGCGCCACGCTATCACAGATTCACAGCCCCCTACCCTCGTAAAGGTTTCTCGCAGCTTGGTAGGCTGGTGAGGAGAAAATAGTGAACTGAGCGGCACAGTGACAACGTCACTATTTTTTCAGTGCTCTGCCTTAGCGTATGTTTGTGATGTGGATAGAAAAGTGTTTCTCCAATGCCCGCCTGAATAGGAAAGGAGACACTTGCTTCCATAGTGTGCTCGCTGGCCGTTCTGTTATGTAGATGCCGACGCCTTATCAGAACCAACTAACAAACGCCTGATCAGCGTACCACTACATTATGAATTGATTAGTTTCAACAGCTAATCAGTCGACAAGCTGCGATAGTGAACCCGGGCTGCTCATAGCAGCCCCAAATGACAAGCTAATTGGCGCAGCGATGTCGTTAGTTACCGCGATGTCTCCAGCCTTGCGTGTTTGTAGCGTGGCGTCGAGTTCATTAATTGTGTCAGAGCTGGCATTTCGCTGATTTCGGCACATTAGATCTGGAGTTTCCCCGGCGGCCTCGTCGCCCGTGCAGTATTGGGGACATTGCCTGGCGCATTTCCTACTGATGTGTGTCAGTTAATTGGCATATGATGCACACGGGACCTCAACGTATCTCTGTTTCCGTTTTCAGTCAACACCAGTGAGCACGCTGCCGGCCAACACGGAGCCGATCTTGTCTCCGAACCGAGAGCGGCACCTCACCACCAACAAGGTAAAGGGTGCTGAGCGGCCACCGCCCCCTCCCTAGGCCAGCATGACCCCCGGGTGCCCCCGCGACCCGCTCGTCCCGCTCAGTCACTCGCCATCTGCTGCTAGGCGTGCCGCCCCTCCCCGTGCCTAGTTTGGGCCGTTTTGTTCGAGTTTTAGCTAGTTTGCGCGGTAGTCGGCTGGAGGAGCATGGCTGGCTGGTCGGGGTGCTGACCGGGCGCGCGCGTCTCTTGCAGGGCGCTAAGACGACGGTGGCTGCGTGGCCCGACTCTCACCGGGCCTCCAGTAACATGCTGGCCGGTATGCTGACGCCGGCTGACCGGCACGGCTCCGTACAGGCGAGTACAGCGAGACGTCTGGTCTTCGGCAGAGGAGCGGGACAGGTGCCAGCCGCATGATCCGGATCTGCCCTTTCCCGATTTACACTCCTCGACATGTCTCCAGAGTCCGCACTCTGGTGCTCTTCCGTCTTTTGACCATCATCAGCCTCCTTTCCTTTCTTTTTCCTCTCTTGGAATGAAAATAATTCCTTTATTCATTCACCCTTAGTAGCCGCATCTTTTTGCTTCTCCACAAATCAAGTTCCCTGCTTCTTCGTCCTTCGCTCACTTCTATTTTTTCTCCTTTCCATCTTCATATTCTCCTCTCGTTTCTTACCCTCGAGTCTAGCTCCAACCGTTCTCTAGGTTCAGAGAGCAGAGGCAGATCAATCGACCACAGTCAGGTGCGCCGCATGAGCCCAGCTTGCTTCAGGGCTGATCTAGACACAGTCGCACGATGTCCTCGGAGCAGTAGACTCGGACGCCTGGGGAAGGGGTGGTTCCGAATGTCTCAGCAGACGATGCAACTCCTTCTGTTCAGGCTTGCTTGTATTCTTTGCGGCTGTTACTGCACCCGTGGGAGTTTTGTGCGCTCCTATCTTAATGAGTTACTTGTTGGATTAGCTAATGTAACGTTTCCTGTGAATTTCCTACGCGAACTGGTGTTTGTTCTTGCAAACTCCGTCAGTTGCCTAGGAACTAACTAGTCATGTAACGTCGCAAGTTCAGCAAGTCCTTCCTTTGCGTTTCTGTTTTTCGCAGAACGAGTAACTAGGTGAACTAAATAATGCATACTGATTACTGATAAAATGACGCTACCGTTAAATAATGCAACCCATAAGGAAACCCCAATAATGAATGTTCTTGATGGAGTAGTTTCCACGCATACTCCCCCTGCAGTACCCCACCCTCCCCTCCCCCGCGCGTTGCCCCTCTGACCTGATCCCCTCTCCCCTCACACAGGTGATGAGTTCCACAAACGGTGAGCTGGGTGCCGATGACCCAACGGCCGGCCAGAGCCAGACTCCGATCGCCGTGCAGCCGGACGTTGACGTCGTCGACGAGACCAAGTACGTGTATGTATCGCTCCCGGGGCACGGGAAAGTGGGGAGGAAGGGCGTTGATATACATGTATGCTCGAGGCCTTGTAAGCGTACGATTAAATTTAGCCCGCATATTTCCTTTTTAAAGTCAGATACAATTTTCTATTTCGCTTTCGTATATTTATCCCCAACAAATATAACAAGCAGCTCCAGAGACAGCTTCGTATAATTACGCTTAGTTTACACCGAAGTGAACTGAGCGCCCTTATTGTTTACATGAGACATGTTTTCTGGCTGCTATAAATGCATCTGACTGCTGTCATGTTAATCCGTACCAGACAGCTTTGCGGTCTCTGACGCTCATCCACTGAGCGGTAAATTCAGCCGTATGCTAGGCGTCCAGCCCGGAGTCCCTCGACTGCTACAGCTGGACTCTGTCTCTCAACCCGCCGCAATGAGGACGTGTCTGCGGGCTGCAGTGTGCTCGACAGACCAGGCTGGGCTGGGTGCATCGCTCACTGTAGTTCAAGTTCATTTATTCACGTTAAATCCACATACATGCGGTCTTTCATTAACGCAATGTCAAGTAACAATAAGAGTAGCAAGTAGCTTAAAGAGTAGCAATGTCAAGCTACTCTAACTAGCGAAGCCCCTGGCTTTCAGAGCCTCTCCCGAACTCCTGTGGCATTGAGAGACGGTGCGACGTGGGCCAAGGGTTGCGAGTCACTGCGATGCCGACTGGTTGCGAGGCCACACTGGGGCCAACAGGACTGCTGCTCGCTGCGATACCGGCTGGCTGTGGGGCCTTGCTCGGGATGCGTTGGATGCTCTGAGGCTTGCAGGGTCAAGGCGTTGCGAGGTTGGTCGGGCCAGGCGATCGACTGTGGTCTAGCCTGAACAGTGAACAGTGTCTAGCTGGCTGCTCGGCGACTCGACCATGGTCGTTACGATCCTAAAACCATGGCGGTCAGTTTTGGTAATCAAATAACGCATTTGAACACGAGGAATGTTTACCTGTCGATTGAGACTGGGTCAGCATAGTAAGGATCAGGCAGCCGAGCGTCGGGTCAATCAGGTCGATGAACCGATTACCGAAAATACCGCCCATATCAACTTTGCAGGAGTGCCGGGCCATCCGCGTGTTTTCATCAGTAGCGTTTTGCCAGCGGCGTTCTACCAGTGTTACATTATTCAGTAACGGAGCGTAGCGTGCGCAACACTCGTCCTTGAGCGGTTTTTCGTGACCGGCCCTGGCAGTGCGGCCGACAGGGCTGTCTGTCCCTCTGATGGTTGCAGTGCCTCAGCAGGTGACCAAAGGACGTGTTTTTCACTCGACATCGTTGCTGAGACAGCGGCTGCTTTGTTTTGTCGGCAACCTACCGTGGACTGAACTATAATAACTCCTTTGATATCCGGCTATTGGCGACACAGTTTGGAGGTCTGCCAAAATCAATGAATGTCTGAACTGGCTTAGCTGAATGCTGGAGGGGCGTGCCGACATAGCGCTAGTTTTCGGTGGCTGAAGATGTCTTTTCAAAGCAAGCTCTTAAGTCTGTGTTGACGAGTTAGCTGTCCTATCTATGGAGTGGAGTATTTGTGTTGAATTAAAAGCTATGCTTCAATTTATAGGAGCAGCAACTTATGCATGGCGCGAGCTCCAAAGTTACAACACATTGCAGGCCGTTATGTTTCAGCCTTGTTCAAGTACTGCACGTCCTTGCATTCGTGACCAATGTCGTGCTGTGTTCCCGGCATGTTTTATAATTGTGTCTGCACCAGCCTTTGTACCCAAAGGCCAACTCCAGGCGGTGAGGCAGGCACCCGTAACCCCTGGCACCGGTCTATATTGCCACTGAAACATGACATCGTTTACTCAAACCGATCCAGAACCCGGGACCGGCGCGGTAGTTGGTCGCCAATGCCGAGCTCTATTGATTGAGGCTAGGTCAGCGACTTGGTCGATTACAAGGCTGTCTCAGCCTATGTTGGCCAGAAACCTGTCCCAAGGACAACACTCATGACGTGACTTTGACCTCCTGTAGTGGCCTGCCCGCTCTGCTGTGAATACTCGCCCTCCTGCTGACATCTCAACTCGCCAGACTCTCAGTCGCTGCCGCCTGGTCTCGGCCGCAAACTGACGACATCGCGCCGCATATCGCCAACACATGGCCTGTCGCGCCGGCCGGCTGGCAACATTTACAAGTATAATCGATGTCGCGGCGCGGCGGCGGCGCAGCGCGGCCAGTAATGTCGGGCCGACAATCGCTCCGGGCGCGCGGCGGCACGTTATTCTTGGCCACGGCCGACCCCGGGGACAACCGGGCTCATTGGCGTCGGACGAGCGCGCTGCTGCCGGCCGGCGGACGTGCGCGCCGACTTTATGGCCTCTGGGGTGACCTGGCCATGTTTCAGCTCGCCGAGGTGACAATGGTGGTCGTCCAGCCCCGAGATACGACTGTGGTGGAGAGTGGTCGGACGCGGCTGGCCGCGCTTCCGAATCTCAGTGATTGACCAATTACTGAGCCGATGATGGGCACTCAGCGTCAATGAGGTGCTACCTCTGATTTCTACCACGTCCGATCGGGTCTCATTGGATAAGCGAGGCGAATCAACAAGCCACCATGTCGTCTCATTTAGAACGACGACCCTGCAATGGGCTGTTCGGAGAGATGGTTCATTTGTTTTTGTAGAGGGATGATGACTCTGAGTGGCGCAGACACTGACTTTGTCCCCCTGGAATAGACTGTCGTGGAGATGACGCTCTGACGAAGACTGATGGCCTGGAGCCGAGGTCGATGCACCAAGCGTAATGATATGGCCAGGTTGTGGTCCACTACCTCATCCAAGGGCCAAGCCCTCTCTCCGGACCGAGTAACGCCCCGTGAGTTACAATGATGACCACGAAAAAAACCTGTTGTTTCGGGACTGAACCATCATAAGTCCAATAACTCATGTGACACACCCTGGAACAAATGTGTATCGTCGGCCGGGCGGCTGTGACACTCTGCTGAACCGTCCTCCCTGCCGGGCCTGGGCCGCCGCCGAGCTCCTAAATACAGCCGTCTAAATGCGGCCGGCGGCGCGCTGACTTTGACGAGCGCCGCCCGATGACGGCGTGAAGTCGGCACCGTCTGTCTGCCCCGGTGACTGATGACGTGCGCCGGGCCGCGCGGTCAACGGCGGCGCCGCGGTCGCCTCTGTGTGATGGTCCCTGTGTGTCTGTGGTCCGGTGGTCTGTGGTCTCAGTGGTCTGACCCTGTGTCTTTCTTTTCTACAGGTGTTGCTGCTTCTTCCGGCGGCGGAAGCGGAAGTCGCGCGGCCAGAAGTGACTGATGTTGGTGCGAGGTCGGCGCCAGCAGGAGGCGGTCGCCATTCTGCTGCCCTCCTCGCACTCAGCGTCGCGCGACTCGGCGCTCGACAAGTGACCGTCGGACCAGGGTCGCGCAGCGCACGCGGAGAGACTGTCAGGTGCGCGCCTGTCTGTGTGTAGATGTGTGAGAGAGTTAGAACGACAGGAGTGAGAGAACATAAGGACAACACGTGAGTGAGAAGAGGAAGACACGTGAGCGAGAGGAGCACGAGGACAACACACGAGTGAGAGGAGGCCGAGTGAGAGCGTCTGCGCGCGGGCGGACGGCGGCCGGCCAGCCCGCGCCGAGCATCTGTACATACGGCCGACTGACAGCTCACTGCTACCTGTGATTTCGTTTCATTTCTCTCGCGCCCAGTTCCAGCGGCTGTGCGGGACTGGCGGGCGGCGCGTCGGCCGATATTATCGATTGTTGCCTGCCACCGGGCGTGCCATTGTATTTGTACGTATTCCTAGACGCGAGACAGTGATTTTATTTAATTCTGAATAAAGTGCATACACTAATTTTGTGGTCGGTCTAGCGGTCCGGTCGCGGGCGCTGTCATCGTTTCACGTGGAGTCGGACCGCACCGTGTTCAGCCATTGTGATTCAGATCCGAGCGCGGCGGCCGCCGGGCCAGCCGTTTTATTCACTATTAAAACATTGTTACATCGGCATACTGTGTACAAAGGTGATGAATATGACATGGCTGTAAAACACTGGTGATTTGACGAGCATGCCGCGAGCGGGTGACGATGGAAATGGGATGACTGATGCGATGACGCGAGCGAGTCTGACCCGGTCACACACGCAGTCCGGAATGCAGCAACAGGCAACATGCATGATATGAACAACAGCAACAAATGATAGGCGCAAGTGGAACGTTCGGTGCCTCTGGTCCCGTGTTCCTCTATAACGTGAACTCCTCGCCCCACCCTATCCTGGTCCATCCCTCCCCTCGGCCCGGCCCCTGCGGCATCAGGGTATCACGGCCAGTCTGCAAGGCGGGCTTCCTCCGTTCGTGCCGAGTCCGGCTCCGTCCACTGCCCCGACTCTGACTCCGACTCCGGACACCGACGGAACAGGTGGTCCGACTCGGGCCACCGGAGCAACTGATCTTGCGTCTCCGCCCGCTGCTGCAATTGCTGCAGCTGCTGCTCTGGCCAAGGGCGCAGCTCCTGCTGTGACTCTGAATAACGGATCAGCTACTGTTCCGACTCAGGCCGTTGCCGTATTGGCTGCTGCTCCGACTGGGGCCATATTGGGTGCAGCGATTGCTGCGACTCCGACCAATGGACCAGCTGCTGTTCAGACTCCGGCCTTTGCTGCAGCTGCTGTTGCCACTCGGGCCGCGAACGGAGTTGCTGTTCCGACTCTGGCTCCGGTCTCTCCACTGCCCTCCAGACAGCGGCTCTGGCAGTTATTGTCGTCATACGAACCACCTGCCTCTGCTGACGCACCGTCTCCCCCGTCCTGCCGCCCTCATCTGGCCGGACCTGCGACTCTGCAGCCGCTGCCGGCCGCGCCGCACGTCAGCTAGCCGCTACCGGCGCCGCCAGCTGAGTGATGCGCCGGTCCAGCTCCCGCACCGCCGCGTCGCTGTCCGTGTAGAGTCCCGTATCGAGCAGAACGCGGCGCTCCTCACGCAGTCGTCGCAGCTGCTCGGTGGACGAACCGGGGGTGAGAGGCCGGTCGGAGAGCGGCGGGTCGCGCGGTGTCAGTGCGCGCACCTGACCGCGGAGTTCCTCCACCTGCCGCCGCTCCTCCGAGAGGAAGCTGAACTCGTCCCGCGCGCTCACCTGTGCCCTGAGGATGGAGACGGGGGTCAGCGCGGTCATTATAAGACACAGGGGAGGGCGGGTCAAACGGTAGCCGAGGGATCGTAAGGGGACTAGGCTATGTCGCGCTCCAGTGACGCGTGAAATCACCGCTCTGATACAATCTCGACGACCGTATCGATCATAAAGCGTCTGAAAAGAGCGGCTCGCGCTGACCACTCATAAATATGGACACGCCCAGTCACTACCTAGCACTACCCACTACCCACTACCCAGCACGATGTTGAGCTGATAGTCCTCTCAGCTGGGTGGATTGATCGACAGGCAGAGCCTTAGTGTGGTATCATTATGTGTACTACTATGGGTCAGGGGGAGTGTTGAGGCTTAGTTCAGGGTGCAAGAGAACTCTGTGTGGGAGGTAGTTTTAAGGCCTTGTGTGAGAGCAATACCGACATCACCTGACGGCGTTTTAGAGGCAGCAAGTCCTGTATGACTGCCTTTTAGGGCAAAGGGCATTCGTCAAAAGCTGAAAAAATTAAAAGGAAGTACAAAGCTATGTAGCTACTAAGCAGTTCACTAGATACTAATAGAGCCGCTTCGATCACTTAATCACTACTGCCATTCGTGAGCCGCATCTGAAAATACTACATGAACCGCCTCTAGTGATCGCCACATGCCGCATATCGATACATCACTCGTTCGAGGCGCACCTTGCCACTGCCGGTGGCACGGACACCTGTAAACAGACAGGTGCCGCGGCTCCCGTTAACAGTCGACCGTCCGCGGCCCCGGCTCCGCTGACAGCGCCACAGGCAATGTTTGGCACAGAAATAGCCGGCAGCCGATCGGCGGCGCGTTTGCGGCGAAAATAGCGCCGTTCGGCCGGCGCGACGCGGTGTGAAAATAGCGGCGCCGTTTCATCATTTCGGCCACGCCTGTCTGGGCCGGAACGACTCAGTTTAGTCGGTGGTGGCGACTCGTTGGGAGAGATACACAGACTCGATCAGACGGCGCGGCGGGGGGGGGGGGGGGATAGACCACGTCAAACGCCCACTCCGGCGCCACTCATACTGCGTACTTCCACTTCCCCCACTGTCGAATCTGTCAGCCCGGAAAAGCTGCCAACCCTGGCTGCGCAGATCGCCACATTCCACCGACTGAACACGTTGATAAATATTAGGACGCTGGTCGAACACAAACTGCTGATGCATGGTCCAGTCGCGCCCTCATACCTTCTGGCAGGGCCGCCCCTCGACCACCCCTGGCCAGTCTCATTAGTCCAGTTTCGAGTCACGTTCTGCTGCAGTCGACTGAATGCCGGTCCCGCCCCTATGCCACACCTCTTAACAGTATCCAAAGCATCGAAGTCACACCCTCCAACTCCCTGCCTCATGACAAGTATTCACCCTTCCAATCGATCTAACCAAAACCCTCCACCCCAAGTACCGAACCTTAGCCTTCCGTGACTACGGTTTAGCCTTAGCCTTCCTCAGTTTGTGACTGACTTCCATCTCACTCTGTGATTGGTGAGTCGCTAATCTAGTCAATGACTGGCCAATGTCAGATCATTCTGAGACTGTCACATCACTATGACTCAGCCTCTCACCTCAGTCTGTGTCCATCTCCCACTTCCTCCGTAACCCATTCTCAGCTCAGTCTATCCAGTTCCAATTTCATCGTTTCTCACCTCAGCCTGTCCAGCTCCAATTTCTCCCTCTCCAGCATCTCGCGTGTGCGGCGCGTGTCGGCGGCTCGCCGCTCCTCCAGCTCGCGCGCCGTCTCCACCCAGCGCTGTTTGTAGTACAGTTTGGACTTGTTGGCCGCCTCCAGTCGCCTCTCCAGCTCGGCAGTCACAGAGGAGGGGGGCGGAGGGGGATCCGCCGGTGTGCGACTGCTGGAGGTCTGCAGTTCGGCTAGTTTCCGCTCCAGTTCGGCCACGTCCTCCCGCAACCGCCGACTCTGTGGTATCAGAAAAGACAGGTCGGAGGTATTGGGTTAGAGCATGAACTCTGACCGTTTTACATAGGTCGTTAGTTAGATATACGTCAGCTGTGCGGTGTCAGAAGGGTGGGGCACGAAGGGTTCGATATTCGCTGGCTCTGAGATGACTGTCGCAAAACAGAAGCAATGGGCGGGAAAGCACTTATGAAGATGGTCAATGGTAATGACGATACGTTTGCAACTCCTAAATAATCATCCATCGGGTACAATAGATTGAATGGCACACAAGTGTGACCTATATAGAAGGCAGCCCAAGTGCACTGTGCAGCTGCCGGGCTATCAACGCAAGGCACTTTGTCAACATGCCCTACTTTCCCAGCCCCTTAGCCACAACAGAATAAAGTTATGACGCGGTGCTAAAGCGTGCACTAATGCTCGCCATCTACGTACTCCAATTTATAAAAAAGCAGCGTCACGATTGCTTGGCGTCAACTCTCCTCCCCCGCACACAACATCAAGTCACGGTCCCCGCGCTGCAAAACCAGTCACAACTGCAACCGAGGCGAATAGCAGCGGCGGCGGCATGGCACTCATGGGACGCAAACAATACCGAGAAACGAGCCAGTATGAGGGTTCAGACACAGCCTTGTCGCACGGTATTGGGATATGCCGTCAACTGAGCGGTGGGGGATACGTCCGCAATGGCGATATTTTAGAGGAATTGTGCAAGTTGGCTTGGATACTGGGATTTGTCGATGAAAACGAGGTATCGTGACTGGTGAATTTGATCGAAACAAAAGCAAGGACATTCGCAGAAATTGTGCAGCGATTCGATAGGAATCAGTAGTCAACGTACCAAATGACACTGAGACCTGCTAGTGACAGCGTAAGCAACAGATAGAGGATACTAAGGCAGGGTTTCAGCACCGTCCCACCAAGTTGGCTCTCTATGTTCACAATGTGCTGACTGGTTTGGATTCGCCCCGTCTTTCAACCAGGGGCCATTGACGTGTCATAAAACTGTCATCTGGCCGTCAGCCGGCCTGGGCCAACTTGTCCTCTGATTGTTATCAGTGTGTCATTTCTCGACTGACACCTGTCACTTATACCATCACAAGAGCCGTAATCATTTTTTACTGCGGACTGACTTACGAGTTCCGAGACTCGTACATAATAACACATCGAAGGAGTTGGCACGTTATCAACGCCAGACTATTCGCACGTAAGTGATGGAGATGGTTCGCAACTGAGCAGCGTAAAGCTATGACACCGTATGGTGCTGGGGAGTCTGGGTTCCGTTCCTCCTTTATCAAACCACCGCAGAGAGGCTTGCAGAGACATCACAGACACGTGACGCATGCTTGATTTGAAACGAACAGCCATTGACCTGCTCAAGCCTCTGCACGTGCGGACGTGCAGGGTGCCGCTTCTACATCTCGAGAACGGCTGAACTCTCCACACCCAAATTTTGTACAGTAGGGAATTTCTCCGCCCTCACTTTAACCAACCTTTCATTTCCATCCCTACTCCTCCCCCACCTCCACTACAACCGCCCATCCCTTCTTCGCTCGCTCTTCTCTCCTCCACTTTCTTACCCTCTGACACTTCCCTCTCCTCATCCTCTCCCACCCTCCTCCCTCACTCATCGCCGTCTCTGCGTCTTCCGCCTTCTGCTGCTCCTCCCCAACACACCCCTCCCTTCCTCTCACACTCTCTCCACCTCCTCCCCCCCCCCCCCCACTCACCGCCGCCTCTGCGTCCGCCGCCTTCTGCTGCTCCTCCCTGACGCGTTTCTGACACTCGGCCTCCATCTCCGCGGTGAGTGATCGCACCTCCCCGGCTATCTGCTGGTGTTCGGCCTGCAGCTGGGCGCGCACCTTCGTCAGCTGAAAGACGGCAGATGGTCGGGGTTATCAGACGACGGTCAGGTTATTAGGGGTAGGTCACGGGCACCGTTCTGCTGGTGCTTGAGGCAAAAACTAGAGGTTGATTAAATAT